GCAGCGCAGAGGAGTTAGCGTACACGTTCCTCAAAATCGTTGTTGCCAACCACGGTACGCCGAAGGAAATTATCTCTGACAGAGGCTCTCTGTTTACTTCAAAGTTTTGGAGATCCCTGATCTCGCAACTTGGTACAGATCACAAACTGTCAACCTCTTTCCACCCGCAGACCGATGGACAGACAGAAAGAATCAACCAGATTCTCGAGACATACCTCCGTTGTTATGTGAACTACGATCAGAACAACTGGGTAACATTGTTACCAATGGCCCAATTCGCATACAACAGTGCAGTTGGCGAAAGCACAAGAGAATCCCGTTCTACTTGAACTACGGATATCAGCCAACAGTGTACGGAGAAGCACGACAAGGACCACAAGCTGTTAAAGCAGTGGCCAGCGTGGCAAAACTCAAAGAAATCCAGAAGAAAGCATCTTTGGATCTCGAGCTTGTACGTCAACGCATGAAGAAAAACGCGAATAGATCAAGGATTGGAGGACCAACCTTGGAAGAGGGAGATAGCCTACCTCCTTCGCCGCAACATCAAAACAAAACGACCAAGCGACAAACTGGACTACAAAAGCTCGGACCTTTCGAAATCATTCAGAAAGTCTCAAACGTCAACTACAAGTTGAGACTACCAGACACGATGAAGTGTCATCCAGTCTTTCACATTTCACTTCTCGAACCAGCACCTAAGGGCTCACACACAGAAGATTGCATCATCGTGGAACCCAATGAACCAGAATACGAAGTCGAAAAATCATCGACCATAGAGTCAGGAACGAAACAAAAGAATTCTTAATCAAATGGAAAAACTACGGACACGAGGAAAACACATGGGAACCCGTCACGAACCTCCAGAACTCTCGACAGCTTCTCGAGGATTACCAGAAGACGACACCAACGGCCCCAGGGACGCGAACTCGTCGCCAATCCCGAAAGAAGGCCAGTCGGCATCATTAGAAACGCCAGCAGCCTGGAGATCGCTCGACCCACCGCTCGTGAGCATCCAGCGCAGGAAGAACACCATCCTCTTCTTCCAACTCCTGCATACCACGAGCAAAAGTTTCCACATGCCTCTCCTTCACTTTCTTTCGGATCGCCCGGATACGAGCAAGACGGCCCGCTGCCTCAGCAACCTCTGACTGTATCCGAGCCAGTTTTCCATGAAGATCGAGCAAGGCGTCGCTAGCCTGCTCCTCCTTCTCTTCCCATTCTTGACGCTGGTCACTCAGCCGTTGCACTACGAAATAGTCAGCCTAAGAAACCGGAACAACGGCGGAAGCACGAACGACTCGATGCCACAACGAGACCATCGCAAGAACGCTTCAGGTTTTTGCAGCCTTGGCACGTTTTGCGCCATCAGCCATCCGACATGGACGTTTGGCGCGAAAACACGAGTGCAGGGCATAACGTCGCTAGAACCAAAACGATCAAACACGTCGTCACAAGCCGACCGAAGTTTCGAGATAGTGTTTTTCAAAGAACGTTTTTCAACACGACCTGACATCGTGTCAGCACATTGCGCTAGAAAGGCAAGCTTGATGATTCCCCAACCTGGGAACAAGGGACCTACTTATAGGCCTAGAGGACTAGACCTTTGAGAGGAGGAGCTGATGTTACGACCCAACACGCATGACAAGGCCAGGGCCTGCCCCACAGGACCTACGGCGGCTACCACACCATATATGCGGGAACACGAACTCAGGGCGACTCCTCTCGGGACGGAAGAACTATGGGACAAGTCACGTGACGATAAGAGATAAGGAACTCCGTACGTTCGAGATACGGGGTCCGTCCTTTCACGATACGGAACCCGTATGTTCAGAACACGGGAACCGTTGGGTAAACATACGGACAAAGAATATGTTCAGGAACGAGACTTGTATATAGTGTGGACTTGAGCCGGGCACAAGGACAGACTTCCATAGCTTCTTCAGCAATCAACTTAGTATCAGATCTTACGATCGCTTTCAGCTATCTTCACTGAGAACCCCTTCTGACAAGACTACGATTGATCACCGAAGCCTTACCCACCTTACGATTTACAGACATAGCTTCAGGGAAGCTATCCACGACTACGACACTGTTTACTTAGTTATCGCAGCCTCAACTTCTGCTAACATACTCACTACGACTAGCTGGCCGTAACATTACGTATTAATAATATTATTAAACTAGTTATAAAAATTAATAAAATTATTATTAATTACTTATTAAAAATAATCCCCCTAGCCCGTACTATAACTAGTATTAATATATTATTATTAATAATTTTTAATAAAAAGTTTAGTTAGTTTACTTTTTTATTAAACTTATTATATTTTAATACTATTTTATTAACTTAGTACTAATCTTATAATATAAATTTATTAGTAATAACTATTATAGCGAGCGTTTTATAAGCTCTTTATTTTACCCTTATGTTAATAAAATACTTTAGTAATAAAAATTTATTAACCTTCTTTATAATATTTAGATTAATATTAATAAACTACTCATTTTTCTAATTATTTAAATTATTAGCGATTTTATAAAATAGGGGTTACTTTTTAAATCCTTTTTAAATATAAATTTTTATAATATATATTAATATTATATTAATTTACTTATTACTAAGGTTATTAATTTTTTATATACTTACGTTTTTAATACTCTAGATTAATTATAATTTAATTATTTAAAATAAAGATCTTTTTTTATATTATATACTAATTTACTCCTCGTTATACCTAGCTCGTACTCTTATTTATTAAAACTAGTGTATTTAATTTTAATAGGGTTATTTTAAAACTACTCGTTAGTTATAATATTAGCGCGCTATTATTATTTATTAAATTTATTAAAATTTAAAATCTTTTATTTTTTCGCTTTTTATATTTTATCTTATTAATATTAGTTCTTAATTAATATAATTATTTATTATAGTCTTTTTTATTTCCTTAATTAATTAGTATTAAAAATAAATTTATAAATAGTTTAATAATATTTTAATTGTAGCGTTTCTTTTTAAATTAAAACTTAAAAGTATATACGTATATTAAATATTAAATAAATTATTATTATTAGTATTTTATTTCTTATTTTTTAAAATTAGTAATTTTATTTAGTAAAATAATATATGAGCTTTTAAAAGCCTTTTAAAAGATTTTTTTTTTAATAATTATTATAACCTTTTTTTAATTTTATTAAAATTAAAAAATATTTAAAACGTTAGTATTAAAAATTAGTTAATTTATTTCGAAGTTTTATAATTACTAAGCTCTATAATTATTATAATTTCTAAATCCCTTTTTCTTTTTCATAGTATTTTTATATAATATTTTATAATAATATTTTAAGAGTAATTAAAGGGGTTATAAAAGGATTATCTAAATTATAAGCTTCTGAGATTATATTTATAAAATTTTTATAATAATAAACCCCTGCTTTATAACTTTTATATAAAACTAAATATTAATAAAAATAAAAATAAAATTTAATTATTTTCTATACTTTAAAGATTTTTTTATTATTTATATAGTTTTTTTTATATTATATAGTAAGGCTTATTTATTATATAAGTTAATTAAATAAATAATCGTTATATAAGTAATTCTTTTATTATAAGGTTATCTTTTTAATTATGGGCTAGTTATAATAAATTAGGTAATAAAAAGTTATATAAAGTCGATAATAATAGCTCGGTTATTTTAATATTTCTATTAATTAATAAAGGTTTTTTAATATAATAAACGTCGACTTTTTATAAGTAGTTAAAGGCTATAATCCCTTTACTTTGTTCTATTATAAAGATTTATTTTTATTATTTATTTTTATAAAACTAGATAATATAATTCTTTTATTATATTTTATTTAAAAAGTCGTCTCGTTTACGTATAAAATACCTTATTAATTTATAATAATAAAAATTAATTATTAATTAGTATTAGTATCTTTATTATAAGGATATTAATTAATTAGTTTAAACCGTAGGTTAATATAATAATAAGTTAATTAACTATATAATTCTACTACGTATATATAAAAAGGAGATTCTAACTATAAGTTAAATAGGCTGTAGTAATTAACTATATGATTAATAAGTAGCCCCTGCGCTACCGCGAGGTCGAATTAGACTTCCAATCTGATAATAAAACATATAAGCTCTTTGAGTTCAGCTGAGTCAGATATCTGCTCAAGGATCGGGCCTCCGGTTCCGTTCCCGCCAGGCGACCTTTTCTGGCCGGTACAAGAGCATAACCACAAGACGCCCAGACGTTCTACAGTAGCGTTAAGTTAGCACCGTATCATGATATCTCCTTCAAAGCTCGTCTTTGGGTTGAATTTAGAAAAGGGCGGAAGCTTAGGTTAAGCTAGTTAACGCTAGACTAGACGATACTACCAAAGCTCACTAGTTCAACAAAGTAGGCCCTAGTTTTAGTAAGGAATACTAGGGCACAACTTTGTTTTTTCACTTTGGATAGTACACATAGAGACCTAGCTTCTTATCAAGTAATTTTATACGATACTGCGTTTAGACGTTGTTTTCGTTAAAAGAAGAAAGTGTGTATTTTAGCCCCGTTACTAATTCCTTGCTGAGTTTAAAGCTGAGGTTGCTTGTTTAGCCAGGTGTTCTTTACGCCGACATGCCTTCCTAGAATATTGTATTATATTTAAGAGATATTTGGTAGGAAGTTGATCCACGGTGTTACCCTATATACATCCGCTGGTGTTTCCCTTAGGCAGGTAAATAGAAGAATGAGGATGATCAAGCGGGCAACTGTATAGATGACACCACTGACAATTGTCAAATAAAGTGATGCCTTATCGAGCAACCCACTAAACTCGTGCCACCAAACACCTTCTTCTTTCGCCTCCTTGTAAGCTCTTAGTGTAAAGGTAATCCAGTCATGGTCAGCTGTCTCCGGGTCGCGAATGCCATGTGTTCTCCTGACATAGTTCTCATAATCCTGCCAAAAGCTCAACTCCTCAGCGTTTTCCGAGTCCCGCTCCATTCAATCGCCAATTTGCACCCATCGATCCAAGAGGGTGCGGGCTACAGGCGGAGTTTCTTTCCGAGCTCTTTGCCAGCTATCCCAGAATCCAAACAAAGCCGATGGGAATTCGCTCATAAAGTAAAAGTTCTTATATGTAGACTCGGGGCTTCCGTACTTCTCGATTGTCTCAACGGATGGTTCCTCATCCCAGTTTCTCGATCCGGTCGGGTTCTCTGAAAGGAAGCGTTTCGCGGCAGAACTCCACTGTCTCCAATGAGGATCCAGTATGTATTCCCAAATATCTGGCGTAAGCCCTTCCATAGGCTTGAGCTTACCTAAAAGTATCGATACAAGCCGAAAGTCCGTGTAGTCAGTAGCTAGAAAATGAAGAACAAGGCTGATCGCCAAGGTAATCGTAGGTAACGCGGCTGAGAGGATGCTCGCAATCCTCCAACAAAGTAGCTCGGCTGTGGAAGGAAACTCAAAATTCCAGGCCAGGCAATGTAAACCACCAAAGCCAAGGGAGGAGACAGCCATCAGAATGAATAAAAGTGGACTTTCGCCATTCATCCATACGAGATCATTTGGAACTCTTAGTAGTTTGGTATCGAGTTCCTTAGCTTCCTTTCGCGCCTTTTTCGGTGACCAAAGCCGTGAAACGAATGATTGTGCATCGGCCGCTGGTTGATCGGTTACCGGATTCTGATGCATAAACCAAACTGGCTGTGGGAGGACTGTGGCTCGGGAAACGTCTTTTGGTTTCCACCAGTTGACCATATAGCTAAGGATGGCCATAGTAGCAAATGAAATCGTTGCAATTTCAAGCTGGGTAATCGGAAGATGCAGGATGCTGCGGACAATTATACTCAAAATGAGCCATAAGACCTGGGCAACAGCGATTCCTTTCAAAACCCAATCTGCCTTGCTCTTATCTTTGATATCTTGTTCCGCTAGGATAAGGCGATCGAAAAGATGTTCTGTAGTGTCGCCTACTATTTTACATCGCGTCGTCAGCATGGATGCCGTCAAACAGCGCCAATAAGTATCCTGACTGTACACGTCGTGGTACTGAATTCCTCCCATCTGGGCGTAGTAGGAGTGTACTACGGTCCATTGCTGAACATATGCACGTCGATCCGTGTATTGCCTGGCTTCCTCTGGTGGTTGAGATTCGCTTAGTTCTTCGCGTGCAATTGGAGAAGCTGTAGAAGAAGCTCTCAAAGACTTGCTATGCCCGGATGCCCGGCCTTGTTGGACGCTCGTGACATCCGCCGGGTTCGATGGGGAAGTTGGAATGGCTGCAAGCTCACGGACGTAGAGATGAGGATGATCTTGGGCTTCAGTATCATTTCGTGTTTCAGATGACTTGGCCTTGGAACGGAAGAAGGGACCAAATGTCGAAAAACGCGGTGGAAAGGGCTTTTGATCTGGGCTTTGAGGCGGAGGCTTTAGTCGTAGTAGCTGATATAGCCACCGCGCCCATGGAGTGTACTTAAATTCCCAGGACCATTTGGTTTCAGCAGAATAGACGCCATCCGTACCAGCCGCGGTCCATTCGGAGAGAAGATGTTCATTGGTAGGTTTCCTTTCTTGTTCGCTCTCATCAAATTTACGAAGTTCCTCAAGCGCAAGTCGCAAATCGCAAACGCCTTTCGCGAAAATGAACTCCGGAAAAAGGATATTGATAGCCATCCACTTCACTTTCCGTAGCAATACTGGAAACCAGTGCTCATCTCGTGCGGGTACGTTGAGGTGAAGCACAGTCCACGTGCAGGCGAAGATTGTGATCACGCAGCTCCAGACAAGCGTAAGCGTGCCGCGGGTCTCCGGGCCCGCGACCCAGCCAACAAGGTCTGGCGTGGAGGTATTGGCAGCTCCGGTAGCCATGGCTTTGACTCTTTTTCGAAGGGGGAAGAAGGGTTTGGATAATTAATGGCTGAAGGGTTGGCGAGCTTGAGAGAAATCTGTTGTAGGTTTGAGTAGAAATCGGGAAACGGCTGGTGAATCTCGCTATCAGGTCATTTGGCTCTCGTGGTGGGAGATGGCCTTTTAAAGTCGGCCTGGAAAGACCTGCAGCAGCGATTGGGTTTCTTTTGGGAGCCAGTCCGAGCTGAGCTTTCATCATGCAAGAAGAACCGAAAACAACTCTCCCATGCACATAAACGGGCAAGATTTCCCAGATGCTCCACACGACGATCATGTCGTTCCAACACCCGGAGTCCAGGAAGTAAAAAGCAACAACCAACTGTACATGTATGTTGGCGTGTGGCCCCATCACTGGCTCCGTAAGTCGTGGTGGCTGGATTGCTCCATTCCAATTGAATCTGCAGGTTTCAAGTAGTTGAACAGGCTGGCAGCGGCTGGACTTACGCCTTACTTGTTGAAGCATGCCTTGCGTACATGCACACAGACATGCAGAGAGTCGGACCGGGGTCAGGTTTGCCATATTTGTGGGCGTATCCCACCTGGCCCGCTTCGCTCAGCATTTGCCCAATATATTGGCTCATTGGGTGTTGGTATACACGTAGGCAGGTCAGACCTTTCGGTTGCGACGAGGTCAATAGGTCGGTTGGTCTACTGCGCGTGTGTAGGAGGGGAAGTTTGTGTGCAGAGCCCGTGATCCCTCAGTCGGTGTAAGTGGTTGGAAGGGTCTGTCCATACAGGCCCAAACCGCCTGACTACCGCCCCTACCTAATCGTCTACCTGGACCCTTCACTGCCTTCTAATCCGTCATTGGGCACCTCAGTGCCTACAATAATGATAGGAGCGCATATACGGAACATGTCTCGGCGACTAAAGTGGATGTTTACGATCGTCGTATGCTGGAGAGAACGGCGCCAGGTTTCCCCGTCGTGTTTCCTATTTGACGGCAAAGTGCGACAGATCTCAGCTTCAAGAAGAGTGAGCAAAGACGGGGTTCGAGCCCAGTGGCGGGACGATCCCTCGATTTTATTCGAAGTTATCCTGGCTTCATGCGTCCTGAATAGGGGGGCATTCTAAAGGGTCGGGCCGGGATACGACCTTGTCTGGTGGGGACAAGAGCAGGACGACATGGGCCTGACCCGAGACGTCCTTCGACAGAGTGGAGTCAACGCCGTCAAATGTTTTCTCCGCCTGAATTTGTTATTGGGTTGAGCTGGTGAGAGGTCGGGGGCTTGGGTCTTCGATAGACGGGATGATAGGTCAGACGCTCGTGCTCAGGTGTCGACCCAAAGCTATCACCTAGATCACAAAGATTCTCAATAACATGCTCTCTGGGTTATGAAAAAGGTAAGAATGCGGTATGATACTTATTCCCGGCGTTCATACTAATACTTGTTAGCGAGTGCGTTCAGCAACGATTCGCTACACCTAGGGGACATGCAAAGAGTATGCTGTTGAAGCTTGCTTGTGTTGTCTTCTCATTTCAAGCATAAGAGCCTATCCTTTCACTCACAGACCTTCAAAGTTCCGAGTAAGCTGCACAATCTAGGCGTTATAATTGTGCAAATTTCTAAAAACATCAGCAAGCCGCAACGCCGGCCCCTCTACGTCCAAGTACGCACAATATCTATCACAGCCATGGACTGAGGCTTTCAAATTCTCAACATGAAGAGCAAAATGCGCTTATCCATACTCAAGCCGCCACTCTGAAGTCTTCGGAGTTTGTATAGGCTTGAAAATAGAAAGACCCAACACACGTCCCCCTCCAGCGGAGCCACAGACACCGGATCCAAATTCAACAAAATCAAAAACATACAACACCAGGTATTCGCTGGTCGTCACCGACCCAGCTACTAATCCGGCCCTCATTGGCTTGTCTATGGGAGAGCGGACGGGATCCCGAATTTTCCAATGGGTATGGTCGTATGTGCTGGAACGAGGGCATCGTGACATCCATGGAGGCATGCAGAACAACGCGCACAACATCCTCACGTGGGGAACCTTCGGAAGGAAATCTGGTATCTTAAGCACTCTGGGCTTGCTCAAAGATTACTAGTATCTTATCCTGTCGGTTTTGAGATGCAATACAGCGAGGGGACTCTTTAGTTGGGGCACGCAGAAGACTTCACAAGCGATTCAGCAGCCCTCAGGGAGGTTACAAAGAATGCGTGACACTCTCGTCGTATTGACCAATTGCTGTCAAAATCTCGTGAGAATTCAAACATACTGTAATGTCGCAGATGGTGATTGAACGATAGAATCACATTGATGTAATGTCAACGCTTGATGTACAGGCCTCCTCAGAAGCTTTCTAAATGCGTCAAATGCACTGGACACCAACACATGACATCCTCCAGCTCCTTGATTCTGGCATCGGAATCTCAGAGATGCTATCTGAATTTTGATCTTCCGTAGGAATATTCTGACGTCTAGTACGGAACACACTCGCAGATATTGCCGGGAAGACTTTGACATGAAGATTGGTTAGCTCAGGTTGCCAATGTGTTGTCAAGAACATCAACTGGACGACTCACCGGCACAACTTGTCCGCAAAGCCACCGCAGTTTTGGATGCAGTCTGCCGTGCTCTTGCAAGCCTCTTGTGCCAAGGCTTATTGCGAGAAGAAGGCCAGAGCGGTCACGGCGACGGAGGCGAAGTTGAAGCGCATGTTGGGCTAGTTTGACAGAACGGAATAGTAGACAGATCTTAGTTGCTTGAGTTGGGGATAATAGGATCATATGTACTCTGGAAGGCGGCCATCTGATGGCTTATATACCATCAATCAAACCAAATTATGTAAAGCCATTCCTCCTCACTCTCATACGCAGCTACTCAAACGTCAAAGTGAAATGTAAATGGGGCTTTCATTGTCGACTTAATCTAAAGTAAACACTCAATCAGTTCTACTTTAACTCTATTCTGGGCGTATGAATGAGTTGGTTCGAGCTTTGATATGACTGTATGATTAGAGTTTTGGCAGGCCATGACTCCCGAGGTGTGATGGATTTCACAGCCCCATCAATGTCGGGGTTCACGGACTCGTATCGGAAAGCGAAACCGAGCTTGAGACCTGAGTCGTCCATGCAGCGGGCGTAATCAGCTCCCGTAAGGTCCGATATAAGGTTTCAGTGTCATGACAAGTGGCCTATTCTCAATTTCCATGATTATGATCATCATCCGTACCTGTTATGAGCTACGTGTAACTCTAGTAAGCCTCCAATTACCATGAGGCTGCAGGAGACACTATGCAAATTACTCACACCTTTTGGGAGATTTTCGATGAAAGGAAATGCCAGGTTGTCTACTCTCACTTACCTATGTTCTATTAGGAACCGTATATTTGATGCCCCGAGGTGAGATGGACGGAGTTCAGGTATTCTAAAGGCTGGAGGCACAGCACAGTCTTGACTCAGTTCTAACTTATAGTTTCTGCAACAGACATCTCTCGAAATATTCCGTCGTTCACACGGTCGATATCTCTAGAGAGTTTTCTTATACTTGAGTCGCATTGGCTACGCCATGAATGTTGACTGTTTACCGAGTCCACGGCATGTATGAACGTTTGCACAAGCTTTACAAGACTAAGGTAGTTTTCTAGTAGATTGAACTATGGCTCAACGTACGACGTTGCCATGGTCTAGGTCAAAGCCTAATCCGTATTGATATAGTGATCAGGTAGAATTATATTGTGCTATAGGATTGTCCCAATGTTGTTACTAGACAAAGCCCCACACCTCCGAAGTCTCTAGTTGGGGAGCTTAGGCATACCTGATCAATCACGACATGCCGGTACGCGATGGCGTAGTTGAACCCCGTTGTTCCCGTTCAGTATTTTCGAACAAATTCTCAGCAAGCCCCAATCACAGAGGGCTTTGCGCACCGTTTCAGTGCTCTACATGCGTTTTCTTTGATATCATATGGTCGGACAAGTTGTCGATGTGCAGACGCTGACCTCAAATAACCTGGAAGTTATTGTTTTCTTCACTGATAATGTGGCGAAGGAAAGGTAAAAGCAGCAAAGTCTTTTTCGGAAGGAAAACTACCAGTATCATTATGAGACATCTTCCCAGCTCTTGTAGCTGGCTTAATGAGAATGCGGTTATCCGAAATCGGGGAACTGTTCTTGCTGTTAGAGATTGCCCACCGTTATCGGCTCCGCGTCAACATTTTGACGCCGGCAAGCTCTCATCACGTCATGCGGGACCAACCTCCAACCGGGTCCAAGGATCGAAGATTCCTGCAAGCCAGGAAGGATCGAGAGCCGCGCTTTAATAAACCGCTTCCGCAGAAGAGCATGCGACGTGCTAGAGCCATCATCTTTCCTCTGGTTTCCAGCTTTTATCTTTCTTGGAGACTCCGATATTGATTCTAGTCAACCACCTACCATGGCCGCAATTGCAGTAGACCAAACCCTCAAAACCTCTGTTGGGAGCCCAGAACAAAGATTTCAAGTTCGCAACGCGTTGCCTTCGTCGCCTTTTGAGGCTTTTGATGTCCCCGGCCAGCAGGACACCGCCGACTTTGGGCTGCCGTGGTCGGCAAGCTTTCCTCTCGGACTTAAAGCAAGTAAGACCCTCGGTCTCTCCGAAAGCATTGACGCTATCGAGAATTTCGCCCAATCTGGGAATCTGAGCGGCCTGATCAAAGAACACGGGGGAGCGATTCTTATTCGTGGTCTCCCGATAGAGACACCTCATGACTATAGTAAAGTCGCGCACGCATTTGGCTTTCGTCCTCATGTAGAGGTTGGACGCCCGCCACTGCGAACCATTCTGGCTCCTAATGTTAAGACAGCAAACGAAGGGTAAGTAGCAAAGATGCAAGCGACTCCCAGAGTCGATCTCTACTCAAATACCCGATAGCAAAGCGCTGTCTTGTTATTCGACTTCCATGAAAGAAGGTGGACTGACGTGAGGTAGTCCGCCAGAACTGCCAATTTGGCCTCATAGCGAATATGGTTGGTCCACAATCAACCCATCGTGGCTAACTTTCAGTGCACTCCAAATTCCAGAATCCGGTATGCTCTGATTCATAGCATAGCTAGTTGCGAGCCTCAGCACTAACCACAAGGCAGGCGGCGCCACACCCATCACCTCGGCTATCTACATTGCTCATGAGTTGTCACGTCTCAAGCCTCAGTTCCTCTCGAACCTTCTGAACAAGGGCGTGAAATACGTATATCGCTACACGACCAAGCCACTCGTCTCCAACACCGGGACGAGCGTTCGTGGCGCTTACGGTCAGGAGGTCAGGGACGAAGATGACGAAGTCACGGCCCGGCGCAAGATCGAGGCTGAAGTCCGACGCCACAGCAACCGATTCGAGTGGCACGACGACGGTAGCTTGAGCGTGACACACATTGTCCCTGGTAAGTTGAGAAGGAATCCTTTCGTGGGCTCTAGACCAAAAGCCTCACTAGACCAAAGACTGACACAATGGCGAAGCCGTTCGCATTCATGATCCTACAGGGGCAACCGTATTCTTCGGCAATGTCACCTCCGCCTGGGGCCGTAGTCGCCATCATGGTGCGACGCGACCTCCCTTCCGCGGCGATGACGGGTCGTATCATCCTCCCCCGACATACGGCGACGATACGCCCATCGATGTTGAGGACTTGGACCTGCTGCTGAAACTCGCGGAAGAGGGTGCCGTAGATGTCGAGTGGCAGAAGGGAGATCTGGTGCTTCTTGATGTGAGTATTTGCCCCTCGGATTTGTGACGCTAGCACGATGTGGCTGACACGAGAGGCGTTCCCCACAGAACTACGCCGTGATGCACTCCCGCAAGCCGTGGAAGGGGCAGCGCCAGGTCCTCGCTGCTCTGTGGGACGATGACGGAAGGATCAGGGATTTTCCAGAAGGCTTGGAACTGCTGAAAGGTAGTCCTAGGGTCCCTCGGACGGAGTTCGATGAGAACGAAGGTCGTTGATAATCGACTTTCGAGGCCCTAATTGGTTGAAGAGTCTAGTTTCACGAATATCATCCCCGTGCGTGGATGATCGTAGCCGCAGCGTGACTAGTCAACAATTGGCCAAGCGTACTACCCCGTTCATTTGATATGAAGTGGCAGATCTGGGGCTTCCGCTTGGACGCCATAAAGAGCTCTGCACAACTTCATTCACAGGATGAAATGCAACTTGAACAAATATTCAGTGGAATTGATTACTACTTTGTGGTGGAAACCTAGCTCGGACATTGCTCTAACAGACTAAATCAAGACACCTCTTCCTCAATCTTAGGACGGGCAAGTAGCCCTCTTGACTCTCTTCGCGCTAGTCTCTTCAAGCTCCGCCAACCCAAACCAGCCACAAGCGGAATCGAAGAGGGCGTCGAAGCCGTTGTAGAACATCCTGCCAGTGTTGATAAAGGGCACGTTGGGTGCCACGGGTGGATCCTCCAGAACGAATCCCGACGGCTGCATTGTCGCAGGGTTGGGCTTACCCGCACCCTGGGCAGTGACGTTGTATGTCGCAATCGGGTTCTTTTCGTTGGGAATGTGAACCACCACAACGGTTCCCTTCGCAGCAACCTGAGGGTGTGTCTTGATAGCCTTGGATGTGACGTTTTTGAAGTGCGATCTAACGTCTTTGTTTACCCGAAGGAACGCCTGGGGAATACCAGTATCGAAAAGGGCCGGGCCATGGTCATAGGGCGAGTCGTTAACTTTGATTGCCATGTTCACCATGTTCCAGTCGATGGTGGAGTTGGATCCGGATCGGACATCGAGCTGCGTCTTGCAGAATCCTTCAGTATTCTCGCTCGTGAGACCAACCTCGACGCCATCTTTGCCCAGGACATAGCCCTGGTGAATCGTACTCTTCACAGGTCGACCGCCGATAGACGCGATGTTGATCAAGGACACCTTATCAGGCAGGGCATCGGGCTGCTCACTGCTCCATCTACCAAAACCGACACCCATGTAGTGGATATCCTTGGGGTACATTGTGATGTTGGACTTCTGCGCTTCCGTGCAGGAGCCCTGGGTCTTCCATGCGCGGCAGATACTGGCTTCGGTGACGATCAGGATAGGAACAGTGGCAACGACATCTTCGCCGATCGTGCGCTCATCCACCATTGCGGGGAAAGTGAGGTTCGCATCGACCCAGTAGCCTTGCCACAGTCTACCGCTGGAGGACAGATATTCGTTTCCCGGCTTGGTTTTGTTGAACGGTGTTTTTTCGTCAAAACCGAGGACGCCGGCACCGATCATGACGCCAGTAGAACCAGTGTCCATGCCAGCAGACTTGATGCTCACCGGCCCCCTTTTAAGCGTCTCCAAGTCTTTGGTCATGACCGTGAACGTAAGTGAGGGCGTGGTGTTGATGTCAGGGAACTTGTTGATGAAGGGGATGAAGGCGGTGTTATTTTCCGTGGCCTTCGGGTACGTTGGAGGTCCTGACGTGGGGCATGTTGCCGCTGCGGCGAACTCCAACAGAGCCAAGATGGCTAGAGAGGTAGAGAAGTGCATTTTCATGATGAAGATGATAGAGATGATGAGCTTGATGGAGAGATGACTAGATGCTGATGCAACGTGGTTCTGGCCGGTATTTAACGAGATTCGATCTGCAAACCTTCAAGTGCAATAATTTATCTCGAAAACCTTGAAATCGCATTTAGAATACGCCCATCAGCTATACCGCAGCTGAGGCTCAGCTGAATGTCTAAGAGGCTCGTGGCGCCGAGACATACGAAAACGTGGCATCCGGTTCCACGGGAAATAGCCAGATCTGGATGGAATTCTAATGGGAAATGCGGCGAGAAGCGTGGTCGGGCCACAAGCCATGTGTGGAATGCCGGAACCGGCGATAGTCGGCGTGGTGTTGGTCTGGGCCTCCATACCTCCGCAAACTATAATGAGACATGGCCTTTGGATCCCCAACCTAAAGCAATGCTAATGTTCAGCGGACAAGAAAAGAAAAAGAACTCCTCCGCGGCCGCCCTTGGTCTTTGGGATGAAAGCAGCAGCAATCGTATATCATCCTCTCAAGAAGAAAAAGACGTCCCTAGAGCTCTCGGAAATCTTTCGATATGCACAATCTAGAGCGAGTCTAGCTTCTTTGATCTGCATACCGGAATTAGACTTTATTTCAATGGAGAATTCCTTGCTCCATCCAGGTTCACTGCCTTCGGCGGAATTCGACGCCATCGAAAGTCAATGGCAACCCCGGCGACTTTCTTCCGGCATAACATTTAACAATCATATCAAACTGTTGGCATACTGCAGTCTAGTCACTCAAACCTCTTCAGCCATGCGTCTGCCTTTGTCCATTTCTCAACAAGATGCTTCTGCCGATCCTCGCCACGCACTTTGAAGCTGACATCAAAAGCCTTTGGCCCAGTCAGGATCGCATCTTTGAAAGCAGTCTGCATCGAAGTATCCGGCATCGTATCCCCCGCCACGACGTCAAAGCACCAAAGTAGCTTGGACATGGTCATCAACATGCTGTTCTCAGCCATGCGCTGACCGGCGCAGATCCTTCTTCCGGCCCCGAAGCTGTAAGTCGGCCGCCGCGATTGATCTTCAGCTTCCGCCTTGGATTTATCGCGACTCTTGACACCCAGTGGATCCTTCATGAATCGATCCGGTTCGAAAGTGTCCGGATCCTCGAACTCGTCTGAATCATGGTTGATAGCCCAGATGTTCATGAGAATGGTAGTCTCAGCGGGGATGTTGTAGCCCTCGTAAACGTCGTCGCGAGTTGTTGCGTGAGGGATAGCCATGGGAAACCCTGGTCGCCATCTGAGAGTCTTCAGAGCCAGTTAGATCGGCGGACATAGTCAAATGCAACAAGTTGAATGAGACTGACCTCGAGGAAACAAGCCTTGATATAGGGCAATGTTTCTGCATTTAGACGTTCAGCACGTATACCACCCTCGCCAAATACTGCATCCACTTCTGCTTGAGCTCTTTTCTGGATATCGGGATACGCAGCCATTGCCAAAACAAATGTTTCAAAAGCACCGGCAGTTGTGTCCGAGCCTCCCTCCATCAAAAAGCCGGCGATGTACTCCAAATCAAGGTCGCTGTAGCCTTCTTTTTCGTTATCACGCAAAAGCCCTGCTACGAAGCTGTCTTCAGCCTTCCCCTGACTGATGCGTGCTTTGGCTTCCTCGAAAAGGTCGTGATACAATCCGTTCTGTTTCAACTTGAGGTCTGCAGCTCTAAGTTTCCAACCTCGCCAGGGCGTCAGGAAATCCGGGACATATTTCAGAAATGGCAGCACATCGAATGGGGGAACAGCTCCCTGATCCAGCATTCCTGCCCACTCCGCTTGGCATTCGAAGAACTTCTTGATCTTTCCCTCATCGCTGAAATCCTTTCCACGGGTGCCAAAGACGCTTGACATGATGATGGCGCCAAAGTACCGCAAAATGTGGTCGTGGTAATGAGCAGGATTACACAGCAGCTCATGCATCATTTGTGACGATTCAGCATCTTGCAACAGCAAAAGCTTATCAACTTTTTCGTCCTTCAAGAAGTCCGTGATTGTCTTCCTCTCCTTCCTCCACTTGGGACCATACCGCAAAAAGACGAGATGGATGTCACCGGGCGGGGGTAGCACGTATTCCACGATAGGCACGTACGGCCGGGACGAGTAGAGGGCCCCGCGTTGATCGAGGAGATCGCGCACGGATTGCCAGGTGTTGAGGACGACGGCTTTGTTGCTGGGTCCGAGTGACAGGCCGACGAGGCCGTGCGATCCGTACGTGCGGCTCCATGCCGCGAACTGAATGAATGGTTTCGTCAACGGTATTTGATGGAGGTTACCGAGGAATGGTATGGTAGGAGGTCCTGGAGGAAAGTCGATGTTGGACTTGGAGGCCTGGAGGCGAGGACGTATGAGGAAGAACGCGACAAGTGCGCCTGCCACGCTCAGTGCAAGTATCGAGACCGCCATTTTGAAATTCAGAGATAACACAGAGTAAGCCTGCTTCACCGCCATCCAGAAATCACACACTGTTATATAGCCAATTGTTCTTAACCTGACCGCCGCAATCATTCCGTCCTCTCACAAATGAGAGCAATCTCATTGGCTCGTAGATGTGAGGATGAGTAACGGCACGCATATGCGTGCGACGCTCTGCTTACGCTGCCCGGCATGGGTTCATCATTGTATTGCTGGAAAATCAAGTCTCAAGCAGTATTGGAGATAGATTGGAGATGATCTACTGTATAAAACACAGTGCTAAGTACGAGGTAGGAAAGTCAGATTGTTGCCAGTTCGACCATACAGCGAGAAGCTCCCGCATTTCATTCGTTGTTGATGTCGAAGACATCCTTCAACGAAAGGACTGCTTTTTTACAGAGCCCTTCATAACTTATCGTTCATATGGGCACGTTTACTCAGACATCGTCTAGCTCTGATCGATCGGCAAGACTTGTAGTTGCCACCAGCGATCTTAATTGCATAGAAGCTGGTTTGAAGGTTGCAGTCCATGCAAAATTCGCACCAGATACACTAGCGACAGCGACAGTTCAGACACGACTAGATACGCGTCAGTTCACCTATCAAGATCAGCAGACATACCATGAAACGAACATACCAAGGCATAGGAACAAATGCGAGAGCTGTTGGCACCGGCATCGGCATCGACATTCGGCTTTCCCAAATCCACCTCACCAAAGACAGAAAGCCACGAGTAAGGTCCGATTGCTCAGGAAGCAGTCTCGAGTGGACCACGGCGGGGTTTATCGCGTAAATACTCCGTACGGTCAAACTGATTCCATCTCGCGACTCCATGTATTCGCAAAACAGTCCCTTCTGAGACTAAGACGATGGCTGCCCCATAGAAAGAGACCGCAGACAGGCGCCACTCGATCGACACATGAAGGGTTCTACGGGCAGAATATGCTCCGCTTCGCAACCCACCGCACGCCACGCCTAACGCCCTTGACAGTCTGTCAGGTGTACTGTCAGGTCAGAGTAAATGTTGTGTCACCGCGATAACTAACAGGGGTCGCAACCGAACCCTCGGACTTCTCGAGAGAAGCTAAGACCCTGGAGTGGTCAGCACCAAGAGCGAGAAGACGGGATGATGTGCGGACACGGATGGGATGAACACTCCCATGCCCGCGTCGCATCATCCGTGCGTCCAGGGGAGGGGAGTCAGGAAGACGTATGCATGCACATGTGAAATGCCAGATAACGGATGTTTTTTGCTCCCTGCAGCGAGATCTTGTATGCTTAAGGCTTAGCTGAGACAGAAACAACCATAAGCATATCAAATCTCTTTCAAGTTTCTTCAACGTCGGGACGCACCACCACACGGTGGTCAAGACGCGTCGATCGTGTCTCTGGATTCCAAGACATCATTTAACGATACCCCCTTTCAACTCTTGTTCCGACTCAAGACGTCTGAAGGAGGTGGAAATTCCACCAGACTTATCAAATGAAGACCTTTTGTCGAACCCGTAAGGGAATAGGCACCAAAGCCGCATGGACAGTTGGCGTCGATTAGCGCCTCTCGTCCTCAGCAAACAACAAACGCCACTCTTCCGATGTAACCGCTAGCTGTATCATAAGAGGCCGCCGCGTCTCGCAGCCGATTGCGCTAACCTTCGAGGCCGCCTACCCGCCAGCCGCAGAAAAGAAACTGGCGGGAGCGTTCCTGGGTGATGGGGTAAAGGTCCGTAGCTTTGACCGTGGGAATTCTTGGAGCTGTGCCCTTTTCAGTCTAGAGGAGGCGAGTGAACGACAAGGCTCGGACCTCCTCATCACAGCTAGTGCAATCCTCATATCCGCATTGACCTCGAACCTCTCCCTTCCCCTACGGCCTGCGGGTCGAGGGGTGGCTGTCTCTAATACCCTCACTCTCGCAATCGCCTGCGGGCTGAGAGGCTTCTGATCCTACTTGTTGTGTTTTCACCTCCCTCTCACTCCAGTCATTCGTTCGTGATCGGGGCCTACCTTCGTTTGAGGTGCTTCTTTTTCAATTCTAGCTTTTCTTACACAACTGCATGACAGGAGCATTTGAGACTTCAAGCGGGCGTTTGCGGACTGTCGCTTGAAGCAGCAATTGCATATCAACATACGACCCTACAACATACTAGTAAATACCTACACAACAAGACAGCAGGACCTGGATAATAATGCACCATGGTTGATCAAGAAATCCACGGCAGGTGGTACAGAATCGCGGGGAAACTTCTCAACCGGGGCCTAATTGGAGATATTCTCGGCACACCCGGCGCCATCGTCAGTCAAGTATTGTCGTCGCCGGCGACGACAACTCAGGGGAATGTCCAAGCAGAGGGTACACCAGCGGCAGCGGCAACGACACAAGCTGCCGCTGCGCCGGCTGCAACAACAGCTGCCGCCTCTCCTGTAGCTGCAACAACACCGGCCGCACAACAACCAGCTGCATCACCGGCAGCAACGACGAAGCAGGATCAGCAGCAAGCTGCTACGACATCAGTCGCTCAGGCACCAGCAGCGGCAGCGACGACATCGCAGCAGGCAGCCCAGGCATCGTCAACAACAGTTGCAGCAGCAAGTCCTCCAGCAGCTTCAAGTTCATCTTCAAGCGCTACAGCTGCTACTTCGTCAACGCCTGCTGCAGCTGCTACGACTGTCCCAGTAGCCGCTGAGAATGCAGCTTCATCACCAGTGTTATCCCAGACGGTCACACCAGAGGCAACAGGAACGAGCGTGACCGGGGTTGGAGCGGGGGGCGCATCAAGTACAAGATCTGGCGTGACCAATGCTACGCAAACGCCTTCGCCGAATTACGAGAATACATCATCATCGAGCAGTCAAGGGCCATTGGTCGCCACTGGAGTCGTGCGTAAGTGCATCCCTACAGCTTTGCTCATACGTGTTGCCTTTTTTGATACTGACTGATACGCAGTGGGCATCGTGGTACTCATGGGACTTTCTCTCTTGATATTCTGGTGCTATCGTCGGAGAAGGAAAGCAGCCCGCCATCTTCATGAAGCCGTCGCCCTCGAGAGTCCTAGCAACGAGTACGGTCCGGCCTCGCCTTTCCGCGATCATGTCGACCAAAGCTTCACTGAAATGACTGATAATCGTACGGTCTCCAACGAAGACGAATTTACCATTCAACACCCCGAACCCGGCTATCAGCCTCCTTCCCAACCGCCGATGTCGCCTCAAATGCAGGACACACCGAGAACAAACCCATACGCAGCATCTCCCTTCTCATACGCACAAGCACAACAATACGTTCAATCTCTAGCAGGCACTGGGACATTTGGCTTCCCTCCGCCACCTCCAATCCCAGAGCCATCGCCTATCCGCATCTTCAGATGGCCAACTCGCTCATCCCGCAGCGGCAACTCTACACCAAGTGTCTTCTCCGGATTCCGCACACCCAAGACGCCTACTCGCGCTTTATCTCGGGCTTCTCGAAGTACCGTGTCATCCATGCTATGGCACGGCCGCAGAGACGTCGCTCGAAGAACCATCATTCGTACTCCCGGATCTCAAAAGTCAGCAAAGTCAGCAAGGTCTCGTACCAACATTTCTTCTCACAGCCCTGAGAGCACGATGCCCGAGGGCCTACATACTCCCATTCTGGATTGGCTTCACTGGATCCGAGGCCACCAACAGGTCGAGCCCGACCCAGAGATGAACCATCGAAAGAGCTTCGCCAGCACCACGGAGAGCTCGATTTCTGAAACAAGCGTTGCAAGCACAGCTAGCAGCGGTGTCTTCTCGCCCACACTCCTTTCCTACCATCCTCCGGCCAACACGCCGAGTGTCACAACCGAGACCATTCAATATCTACCGCTGCCTTTATTTAAGAAAAGAGCCAGTGATAGCAATAGCGAGGTTACGGTGGAAGCGTCCGGTACGGTCCGCATCCCAAGTTTTGGATGACGGCACAGTACAAAACTTAATGATATCCCATATATTTGGGCAACAGTCGTTCATTGCATGGCTCAGGTGTTCGGGTTTAGCAATCTCTCTAATTTTATCAAGTAAATATTAAATCCGAACAAACTCAAACTCAAAGTCCCTACGTCCTCATTTGCAAATGTGCTTCAACTCGACCGACTCAAGGTTCTGTGCCATCGATAATGACCCCTTGATCCATCACTTTCCTATTGTGCCCAGGATGAAAGCAAAAGTAAAAAGCGCATCCTGAGACGAAACCAACAATGCCCAGCGAACCATACATCCAAACGAGGTAAGGATCTTGCGAAACAGGCGCAAGCGCAATGCAAATGGCGGCGGCGATGCCAATAGTCAACCAAAATAGGGCAGACACAACCGAACGAAGACTGAAGTTAAATGACGTTGTCAGCAAGGTAGTCTTATCAAGACCCCTGAGTCCAGGCGGGATACCGGTAAGCTTACTTCTTTGGGGCTTGGGTGAAAGCTAGCTCTAGTCCGGTGACGATGATGAACGCTTCGGAAAACGCCACGAGTATGTAAGCGGGGGCCTGTATCCAGACGTGAATGCTTTTGGGCGGGGAGTTGTAGATGTAATGCTGCAGAACACTGGCGTAGACCATGGATATGGAGGCGAAGAGAAAGCCTACGAAGATTCGGGTGACTGGGTCGAAGTCAATGCGGTATTTGCGGAACATGGGATACACAATCACTAAACTTTATCAGTATCGATACAGTGAGGTCAACGGAAACCATGCAATCAATCGCGTACCGTCTAAGAAAGGGATGAAGATGCACAAGGCGATAGGATCCAGATTTTGCAGCAGATCGTTTGGAGTTCCGTGCAAGGCCATCTCGCCCGCTTGAGAAATGAGATTATTCCAGATTTGGATCCAGCAAATGAAGTAGAGAGGGAAGAATAAGAACATCTAGGAGTCGAATCTAGCAATTAGCCCAACGCAATACTCAGACTCAGTCAGAAGATGGATGTTTGTTGACTCACCTTGCAGCTCTTCAGTCCTCGCATTACATCCATCACATATCCATCAGTGTATCTGGTCTCACTTGCGATCGCGTAGTTTCCATCACGCCCAGATTCTCTCAAAGCCGAAGGAGTCGCGTTGTTGAACCCCCTTTCTTTGATAGCAATGCGAGTGACTTGGAGAGCGTCAATTATGGCAGAACCTTCTGGGGGAACCTTGACATATTTCTTCTGTCCCGAGATGAAGATGCCGGCAGAAATAATGATGGCGCTGCGATTGTCAGTGGCCACTCCAGTATATGGCAATTGGGTCTCTTACATCAGTGGGATGAGGTACGCCAGCCAAAAAGAATGGTGTGCTTCGACGTTGACAGTGATCAATGGCGACAATGCGCCGATGTTGACAACCCAGTAAAACCTGCAGAAGTGTTAAAGAGTCTGAGCCGTTGACTTCATAGGCTCTGGAAACCGGCTTACCACATGAAGAGTCTCTGTACTGTGAGCTCAGGATCAACTAACACTTCTTCGCCTGACTTCAAGGTTTTAATAACTGGGTGTGAGTTCTGGTATTGTTCCGCACACATCGGCGTCACGTTGGCCTTGATACCGCCAGTTCCGAGGCCAATTGCAATCATAGCTGCAATCAAACCACCGAATCCCGCGCCATTCATGATCGACGCAGGTGTCGAAGTCGCGACGAGGATGATGAGGCCGACGATGTACACGGCACAGGCAGCAAGGATCGCCTTAAACTTTCCAAGGTACTGGTCTACCATTCTCGATGTCAGAGGTGCTCTTTCCGAAAACGCGTTCAAGTGAGACTGGAAGTCATATTCTAATTCACCTGCAATGATAGCTCCAATTACAGTGGATGCATAGGCCCAGAACTTGAAGAAGTTACCCAATGCTGTCGCTACCGCTTGACCCCAGCCGAGGGCACCAGGCAGGTTAGATGTAGGGTCATAAGGATTGCTGTCAAGTTTGAGAGTTAGTTAATCATTGACTAAGTACGCAACTTGGCAGGTTGAAGCTGGATTTGGCCGTTCTTACTTGATGTAGTTTTGAATGGGACCGCTAAGCCCGAAGTATGTAAACCGCTCTCCAAGCTGAGAACCTCAGTTAGGTCTTGTCATGCTTCTTAGCGCTGAGATATAGTTACATACTTCCACAACTAGAATCAACAGGGCGACAGCTGGTAGCTTATCCGGGACTCTTCGTAGACCTTGCCATTGTTGTGCAGGTAACTTGAGAGGCCCATCGGGTTGCACTTGGGCTTCTTCTGGGCTAGTGATGCTGTCCTTTGCGTCGGTCATCGTGACTGAAGCTTCAGCAACAATGCATATGGGCCTTGAAAGATGCAACAAGAACTGGTATCAAAACGGCATGATTCAACAAGGTGCAATGTTCTGGAGTCAAATACATGATCAGGAGTCCAATACCGATCTTCGATGCTCCGAGTCTTGGTTGGCTATTAGTTTCTTGACTCGATCCGGCGCGGAGTGCAAAGCGGGGTCCCCCGGACACGGACAAGCATCAACAGATATGGAAGATAACGCTGGGCCGTTTTCTGGAGTTTTAATTGGTGGCGTTCTCTGGCCTATCATCAATGGCACTTGAGAAGAACGCCACCAATGAACTTCAACACCGTGATCAAAATGGGGGCTTCGGCCGCCGTCTCCACCAAGATCGGCCAAGTGAACGCCGCCAATGGGATGTAATGTCGGCGGCGGACGGGTATGAGGATGAAAGTAGGTCCTCCGGTCCGGAGATAGAGCCCGGAAAGTAAGATAATGGGCGAATCATTGCAACTGCGCTTGCGTCTTAATGTTTTCTCCCTCGAGTTTCACCTGAGTTGGCATATCAAAGTCAAGCCACTTGGGCCAAAAATCTGTTTTCTCAAATCCACTGAGAGCACGGCAATCAGACTTCTGGTTAAGGATGACAGTTCCGAGGAAAGTCAAAGACTCACAGCACGCACCAGGACCGGTCGCTGATCGGCTTGCATTCTCTGCGACTGAGTATCCTGGCATCGACCCTCAATGGGTTCAACTATGGAATGAGTACGGTGGATCAATGGTCAGAGCGGACGAAGTTGAACTCGAACAATACCGAAAAGATCCAGCCAAATACAGCTTTACCTTTCTAACTTGCAGAGGTATGTTGAACTCCAAAGCAGAATTGCTGTGAGCTTGAGAGTTGTGTTGAGGCGAAAACTCTTAGGCCCTGAAGTCTTCCACGTTGAAGACCGCAAGATCCCAGTGACTACACCGGGTGGAAAGGTGTCGGTGAGGATATACTCTCCCGAGGGTTCCGGACCTTTTCCCGTACACCTTAACTTCCATGGAGGTAGTAGACATCCAAGATATTCTTGATAGAACTGTGCTCATATTACACTCACAGGAGGATGGGTGCTGGGCGGGCTTCAGAGTGAGGCTGCATGGTGCCGGCACATTTGCAATAAGTCAAACCCCCCACTTCCTGGCACCCCCCTGTTTCTGGCACCCACAAAAACGATGGGATCACAACCCAACCTCCTCATTACTATTAACTATTGATCCTCAACCACACCCACTACAATACAACTGCCAGCCTCACTAGGGCATTCAGAGTCGCTGGATTCAGCCGTAATAACCTCCTTTTCACCCGCTTCGATTTGAGCCCGATGGATATCCCTGATGTTCGCAAACTTCGTGTTGGGATCGATCTGAACAGTCTTCCTCTTCCTAACTGCAGCGTTGGTAACTTGAGCCTCAGGTGAGCCAGCTGCTGCTGGGCAGCTGCCAGTTGCCAGGCCTGCTCTGTGAAGCCTTTTTCACCTTCCTGAACAGCAGCCGTTGAGTGCTGGTATCATTGTCGAGTTGTGTATAAGTGCAGTTGACCGCTGAGCTCTGCCAGCTTCCTGGGTGTCGACCAGACCACTGCAGAGGAAGCAGAATCCCATGGCTCAACAGGGTAGTTTGTTGACCATTATGGCATCGCTTTTTGCCCCGACTGGTTGGTTTGGGTGTGGTGGGCTTAGCAGAAGGCTCAGGTAATACCATAGGGTTCATCAGGGGCTTAACCATCGCTACAGGGTGTAGACCAGTCCACTTCCAACCACTTCTGATGTTCGAGACTGATAGACCAGCAAGTCGAGCCTTCTGGTAACAGTCCAGGAAGTTCCTTTTACCTATAATGGTAGAGTCGTTCCATTGAGACAAGTAACCGAGCTCCTTCCGATAGGCTGACTTAACAGGGCTGAAGACAGACTGGTCAAGTGGCTGGAGGACATGAGAGGAGTGTGGTGGTAAGAACAGTAAATGGATATTGTTAATATAGCAATTCCACATGAAGTCTGTCGTCGTATGACTCCATGCCCATCCACAATCAACAGTCGAGCCTCGCCCTCAGCTCTCGGCATAGTCTGTGGGATAAACACCTTCTCTAACCATTCAATGGCAGTTAAGTCTGTAGTCCAGCCATTATCTGTTGCTGTAAACTCCCACCCATCGTATGGAACCAGATGTAATGGAAACCACTGTTGTTGGACCGTCTTCCCTTGAAAATGATAAGAGGACGAAGTGCCCTACCCAAGGCTGAGATACACTCAATGATAGAGACCCATGCCCTCGACCCAGGTTGTTTCTTGCGAACAGACGTCGTCTCAGCCATGCCCAGCACTAACCCATTAGCTCCCTGACCCTCGAGGATGCCAGTCTCATCCATATTATATCTGTTGGCTGGTTTGATGTCCTTGATCTCAGGGATAGCAAGGAACTTAAACCAGTTCCTAATGACCTCAGTAGATGCCCCATTAACGCGTCTAGAATCGATGGAACGACTTCTCTGAACCTTAATGATAGGGTTCCTTCTCAAAGGCATAGATCCAGCCTTTTCCTAATGGTTTGGTATCCCCAGCAGCAGCCAGAACTCGCTCTGCGAATTCCTTCACCTGTTGGTGCGTTGGTGCGAGGCCCAGAAGCCTGAATGCGAACCCATTGTGCCAGCTTACTCTCCTGGTCAGGAGACAGCCTCTGCCAGTCAGCAAAAGCCACTTTCCTAGTCTGACCACCTTGGAGACGTAGTTGAGTGGGTTGATCGTATCCCATACTCCAATGAGGCTCTCTTTGACTCTTGCCGTTTGAGATGTCCTCGAGAGCCTGACGAAGCTGATCTTCGGTATATTGAGGCATTAGATATAGAAGAAGGTATGTGCAAAAAATGAGCCCATTTGGACTCGAATTGAAAATGTTGTGATAAAAGGAGGTTGGGGGTGGGCATTGCGTTGTGGTGGATTTTCGCGTTTTTGTGGGTGCCAGAAACAGGGGGGTGCCGGGAAGTGGGGGGTTTGACTTAAGTCCAACATCAAAGTCATCGATGTAGACTACCGCATGGGCCCAGAGCACAAGTTTCCGACTGCCATCTACGATTGCTGGGATGCTGTGAAATGGGTTAGTGCTAACTCGGATCGGGTACCACAGTTTCTCAGCTAACGGACAGTGATATAGGCCATCAAAAACGCGAATGCTTTGAATATCGATCCGAAAAGCGTGTCTTTCGGTGGGCTTTCGGCAGGTGGTCAGATGTCAGCGGTGCTTGCTCATTTTGCAAGAGACGAGGCTATAGCAATCAAGTTGCATCTCATGATTGTGCCAGCGACCGACATGAGGTACTGTCACAGAAGTATCAAGCGACTCGACAAGTCAAATTGCCCATATGAGAGCGCTCGTTTGTATCAAGATCTACCTTGGGGACCTCTCGGGCGAGAACAATGGTTTTTGAAGTACTGGCTTGGGGAAGATGATGGTGAGGGAAAACGGAACTGTGCCTTTCGAAGTTTGCGCTGATCCATGAACATAGATGAACAAGCACGACTCCTCAACAACTGGAAGCTTACACCGGTATTAGCGCCGAAATTTGCTGATTTGCCACCTGCACATATAATTACTGCAGAGTTCGATTTGGAAAGGGACGAAGGAGAATACTACGGAAAGCTGCTTCGAGATGCAGGGAATCAGGTTTCAATGAAACGATACACAGGAGTTCCTCATGCATTTGCTCACTACAACCATCCTGAACGGGGCCTTTCTAAGAGTTTCGAGTTTATTGAAGACACAGCTGAGCTACTTAGGGCAGTCCACTATGACAACTGAGAGTCGAAACTCAGAAACTAGAATAGACTATTGAAAGATTTCTAGTCCCCAGTAAATTTAAGCACTCATGCGGACTCTGCTGCCATGAATGCTTCTTTGACGTGCTCCTCGAGGTGTAAGACGTCGGTAAGACCTCGCCAGAAAAGAGCATCGATTCTCAGCAAACCCAGGCGCAGGAAGGGATATGACACCACTTTCAATCGAAGACTCTTCCGTGTGGACTGCAAATCAGTGATCCAATCAGAAGCTTCTTGGTAAGTGTGTGAGGAGATGGCCATTGTCATTTGAGTAAAGCAAATTGAGGAAAAGATGAGCTGAGTCCAAGATGGCCAAAAGACGTTATCTGTATCTGAGCTCAGGCTCTTCACGACATCAGATAGACCACGAGTACAGTCTCGCATAGATTGTCTCAGCTCTTCCGTCATGCTCGTTTCTTTGTCAGATAAGTTGTGATCTGTTGTACTCTGGAATAGCACTGGGCGAAGTCCAGCCCGCAAGATGATCATACGAACATAAAGCTGAGCAGAACGTTGTGGATTTGATTCCGACACAGTCGGTCCCGTGACCGAGGCAAGACTATGGAGCAGAGACTTCGTTAAGACGGAGGTCCTCTCGTGGTTTTTGGTCAAGTCATTGACAGCGCGGGCTGAACTATGGTAATCATTAGCATTGCGAGTAGAAAGGTCAAAGGAAAAGCGCATCTTACTAAAGACTGGTAAGCGCCGTGTTGAGAGTTTCAGTGACAGCAGAGAACTGGCAAAGCTGAGTCTCATCTTGATCCCGCAGTCCTGAAGCAACAAAGCTTCCATGTTCCACCGCGGTAATAAGCCAATTATCTTGGTGAATTAGTGTTGGAGACCCCTGAACGCAGGCTATCCAAGTATCGGCGACAAAGATACAGAATGATAGCCTCTGTCTTTGGGCCTTTTGCCAATCTGGTATTGACCATCCCGAGGGATCCAAATGAAGACCCAGCGTAGTTGCACAAGCAACCAGCCTCCCCAGGATGTCCCGCCTGTACGTCGTGTCTGCGACGAGAGGGTCTGCAGATGGGCGTAAAGCAAGGAGCAGAAGAGTCTGAGCAACCGCTATGCTCGGCGAATGGACTTCGTAGGTGAGAGCCTTGTTGATAATTTGGCCCAAGTCCGGGTAGGGAGGGTTGTCATACGCAACGTCGACACTTAGCTTATCATCGTGAAGCGCAAATGGTAAAGTGATAGAATAGATAGCGGCAAGAAGATACGGAGGTGATAAGGATGGCTCTACAGGTTGTGATGTAGATAGAATGGGCCACTGGGGCTGAATGAAATCCCAGAAGAGTTTGATGAGACGCTCGCCGACGCGGGCTGGAATCACATCCTCTAATTCCTGTCTGCTCGTGCTTTCTTGTGGTTGATCGGAGCCAGCCTCTTGTCTGCGACGAGAGAAGATAGATTGTTGTGAGACAAGAAAGTGACAAGGTACTGGTTGTTCTTTCACCGAGTGGATAGCAAGCTCCTTGAACCCGAACATGCCGCGGTCATCAAAACGATAATGACGCAGGAGAAGGGGATCCATATCACCGCTAAGACCTAGCAGTTGCGGGTGGGCACCTGAAGGATACTCGGCCTCCTCTGTTGAGCCTGACTGACCAGGTGTACTTCTCGCCCATACGCTTGAAGAGGCGCTTGGAGCTTGCGGACTTCGGAACATTGCCTCGAATTCGGACTGGGTCGTGCTAAAGTTGAAGTCGCCAGTATAGTCCAACTGACCAAGCTCCTTGTGTGGAGACTGCGGAAGAAGTTGCGAAGGGGTTGGTACTGTTGTCGGCAATGCCATGATGGGTGTATCAACATGAGATGAGCTCGACAGGCCGACCACACTAGGGCCGTCGTCAGACGTCAATAGTTTCTTCCTAGGCGCAGCAGCCTCGATAAAAGTACACTGGCGGTTGTGTGATACGCAGAGGCGGCATGGCGGCGCTTGATCAATCCGACACGCAGTCTTGCGAGAGCGGCAGAAGTCACATGGGCGCTGGCGCTTGCTCATATATCTTCGCTGTTGACCAGACATCCTGTCGAGAAAGCGCTCAACGCGCCTTGGCTTTCGAACAAGGCTGTCTGGGAGAGGGCTTACGGGTCATCTATAATTTCACGATGGAGACACCGAGCCAGTCTGAAAGCCATCGTTGAACAAGATGCAGACAAAGTAGAGCATGCGACTGACAGCTCGCCCTACTTGAGTGACGAAGCATGACAGGAAGAAGTTGCAGGAGACTCGGGTCAACTACGCGCGTGGATCACGGCTAAGCCGAAATCGATGCGAACAGCTGGTACCGGCTGGGGAGATCCTTGCCTGGGAGTTGATGGTCCGCCTTTCTACTTCACAACATGTAATTATCGCTCAACCTACCAAAGGCAACATCAGAAGGATCCTGAGATTTTATCTTCATTTGGAGTGAAATACTTCTGACTTACTCATATTCGTAGTTCTTCTGGGCGAATAACAACTGAGGTGCATTCAAGGGAGGAACTCGGACTCGAGGCTCCAAGTCACCATTCAAACCCTTGGACCAAGCAACTAAGCACACTGATAATAGTACGGTGCCGAAATACCCTGACAAGTTGAACCCGACTGTGGTTAGAGGGCAATTGTTAGTACAAGGACCTAGAAACGGGACTCGAACATGACAAGGCGGGCAACTTACGGCACAGGTGGTGCATCCCGTCCAACCCTGACCACCACATTGCGCATACTTCTGGACAGTACACGAGGGCGGGCTTCCAGTCCCAGGAGAAGTGCCTCCTCCACCTACAGGCGATACAGGAAGCGCCGTGCCGACAGGTCCCTTGGCTGCGTCGCATGTAGATGCGCACCCGCTGCATGCAGATCCCGCCGTCTTCGTGGTCCCGATAGAAGCAACAGCGGGGCCGGGGACAGTATATCCAGATAGCTTTGAATGAATGTTGACAGCAATACCGGGGTCGCTCGCCTTGTACGCACCGGGGAAGCTGACTGTCGCAGGCTTTGCCGTCCCTGTACCGCCCGAGACCGAGAGTTGGAAGCACGTCATGTAGAGCTGCGCTCCGCCTGAAGGCCCGGCAGCGTGAAGAGCAATGACTTCCGCACGGAGAAGGTAGTCTCCGTCGGCAATGTCTTTGCTGATGGGGATGTCCATCTTGCCGCAGCAGGTATTGAGATCTTTAGTGCCCCAATTATCGTCATCGCCGGAGCCGGAGCCGGATTTCGCGGACCAGCCGTCTTGGAAGATCTTGAACCAGCCAGCAGAACCGTCGGCTGTGGCGGCGTTGTCGACCTTGCTAAGGTAGACTATGACTGGACCGTAGTGCGCGCCGCCGATGGCTTCATTCTTGCAGCTTCTGTCACCGTTTTGCTGTTCGCGTCCTGTGTCAGTGATCTTTTCATGGCAATGGGGGACCGATAGCTTACCTGATGCATCTCAATGGTGACTGTTCCACCAGCTTTGACAGGGCATTTGGCGTTGACGCCGCTTGTTCCTCCGACGTTGCATCTGATCTCGTTGCCGGCGACATTGGTAACGGGCGAGTTGCTTTGGGGCAATCTTGCGCACTGCGAGCCGTGAGAGAAGGTCAGTCAATGTATCATTTCCCTTGTAAAGGGTAAGTAAAGACGTATCATGTCAACTCCATCAACCCAGAGTTGTTGAAAAGTAGCATGAGCGGCACATTCTTTGCCCGCGATTGCTACGACTATGGCGAAGGTGTTCCACTTCATGGCTACTTCGACGAGTGGAAACGACGCTGGAGCGGACGACTTCGAATTCAGCAAGTAAATTTCGATTGCGAAGAGGTCAAATGACTATCAGGTTGTGAAAAGCATTTGCAGGCAGAAACCATACAAACCTGCTTGTTGAATACTTACTTATACAACGCATCCAGCATACAGGGTGGGAGCCGGGAGCCAGTCTGCGCTATTCTCCTTCCTCCAACCTTTCAACATGAACTATTATCATCTTCGTGTAAACGGACTCTCAAAAATGGCTTCCGGCACTCATGGAGTACAATTGATATTAGTTCGGCCCTTCCTTATATGAGTCGTTCACCACGTGGGTCAATTGCCCCGGCTAGGCCGTCTCGGCATGTCCATTGAGCCAAACTTCGATATCTAAAGCCCCATGAAGTCAATACTGGCAGGCGGAAGCATTGGTCAGTTACAAAGCCCTGTCAAATTGATGTAGCACTCAAGCCTTAATTAGTACATCGTTGCACTTCAGAGCCTATATAGCCGGTTGGCCGGCAGAACCGCCGGCCTAATACCTTCCGTGATCGCCGCAATACGACGCAGGATAAGATCGGCTCTTTCAGAAGTGTCGTATAGTCATAATAGGGGTATCGACGTTAAATATAGAGAACGGTTGTCTATTAAAAGTAAGAAATAGGCACGAGACTCGCCCTAAAATAAAGGGTATAAATAAGTATAGACCTTAATAATTATATAACTAAGGTTATATAATATATAATAAGATTATAAATAGTTAAGGTTATTATAATATACCCTCCTAAATAAATCCTTATTTAAAAAAGCGTATTAAACTACCTATATTATTATAAAAGAGTTACTAAATACATAAATTTAAATAATATTATATAAAATTTTAATTATAAAAGAATTATAAAATAAATTATACTATATACTAAGTTATAAATATAAAGTAAATAAATAGTAGTTTATTAATTATATTCGTTATTATAAATAATCTTAAGGCTTTTTATTAATAATAAGTAGGATTAAGGGTAGCTTTTATTAATTAAATAATTAACTTTTAGTTTAAAATAAATAAATAAATAAATTCTTTATAATTACTTATTATTCTAACTTTTTTCCTTTTAACTTATATAATAATACTAATTATATATATATACTCTTATTTTTAGTTTTTAATTACGTTTATATATATATTTATTACTTAGGAATATAAATCTTAATTAATATTATTATTTAAAATAAATATTTAAAAACCTAGGTTAAAAAGCGTACTTATATTATTATAGCGCGCGAAGTTAAGTATTTTAAAACGAACTCAAAAGAAAATAATAGTTCTCTTATTTATAATAATAATCCGCCTCTAAATACGTAATTTATTTTTATATTAAATATTAATTAGTAAAACGATAATATTATTTTATAATTTTATTTTAAACTTATTAATAATAGTTACGAGGTTAAAAAAATATTATTTAAGAAGTAAATAAAAATAAAAGTAGTTTAGAGCCCCCTCTCGCCCCTTCTTAATAAATATAAAGTAGTTTTTATAAATATAATATCCTTTTTTAATATTATTATTTATAATTTTAATTTTTAATAATATACCCCTTAGTACCCTAGTACTAAAGGACTTCTTAAGTAAGTATTATTACTATTTAATTTTAAATACTTAGGTTATATTAAAAATACTTTTAATAAACGAATAGAGGGTAATACTTCTTAGGTTTAAATATTAATAATAAATATACGTATTACTAAATTAATAAGAAGTTTAGTTATATTTTCTTTATAAGGCGTATATACGAGCTAAATAAGAAGTTCTTATATTTTAAATAAATAAAAAAAGAATAAAGTAGCTATATTATAAAAGTTAGTCTTTATACGTATTATTATTTTAAATTAATTATTAATTATTTTAAACCTTAATTTATATAATATATACGTTACGTAAAGCCTTAATAACTAACGGGTTCTTAAATAATAATAAAAATAAAATAATTTATATAAATAAAGTTAAGAATAAAAAATATTTATTAACGCTCTCTTTTATTTAAAACTAAATTAAAAAGGTTAGTTAAGAATATAAAAATATTAAAAGCTTTATTTATAAAAGTTAATAATATTTAGATTAGAATCGATATTTTTATTAATATCTATATCTTTATAAACGTAATACCCGTATTAAAATCCTTTTAAATAAATATATACTTACCTTTTAAATAAATAACTAACTTAATAAGGTTATTAAAATAATTTTATACTCCTTAATTATAAACTATATTTATAAATTAAAAACTTAGGCTACTTAGGGCGTTTTATTACTTCTTTAATATTCCTTCGTTTTATATAATTATTTTTATATATCCTTTATATTTAGAAATAATATAAAGTACTCGAACTTTATTTATAAAAGCTTTTTATAAAACCGTTAGTTAATATCTTATTTATTAATATATAAACTACTTAAAAGATCTTTTAAATATTCTTAATATAGCTATATATTTTAAATATTAATATAATAAAAATAAGTTAAAATATATTCCCTTTTTATTATAAGTTTAATTATTTAACGATTATTATAATAAATTTTCTAAACGTTACTAAGCTTAAATAATATATTATTAAATAAGTATTTTAAAATAAAAGTCTCTTTAATAATATATTCTAAGCTAAGTAGTTCGGCCTTAATTATTAAAATTATTATTATATTTTATTTTATAACTTTTATTAAATAAGTCCACTAAAAAAAGATTATATATCCCTAAAATAAGTATTAAGTTTTTATTATTTATAAACGAGGTATTACTTATAATTAATAATATTTACCTACCCCTAAAATACTAAAGTAAATTATAAAATAACATATATAATATAAGTATTATATAATTTAATTTATAATAAAATAATATTAATAAAATAGGTTTATTAAGAACTAAAAGAATAAAGCGTATATAAAAGTAACGTTAGGTTATATTATAATTACTATATATAAAATCGACCTTATTTTTTCTTAAAATAACTTAGTTTTAGCTAGTAATACTACTCCTAAGTTTTTTAATTAATATGGTTAGTAATAATATTATAAATATATTAAAATTAATAAAATCGAACTTCTTAATAACTCTCTTAATATATTAATTATAAATAAAATAAATCCTTTAATTTAGTTAATTTTAAATAACTCTAATATTTAAATACTATAAAATTAATCCCTAGTTTTTACTTTTTTAAATCCCTTAGTTACTTAATTAGCTTCTTAAATATAATCCTTATAAAATAGTATAAAAATATTATTTATATAAAAAGAACTAGGACCTTTTGTTTTAAATATAAAATAAGTATAGGTCTTCGTTCGTAAATAAGAGTTTAAATAATTTAAAAATCGCTAAGAGCTCTTTATATTAAAATAAGGAGCATTATAAATATTATAAAAGCTCGTTTAAGTTTAATATATTTACCTAACTATTTAAAACTATTTAAAAACTCGTATATAATTAGAGAATTACTTAGTTTTCTTACTACGTTTAAAAACGTATTTATAATATTATATTAATAAATTTCTAAATTAAATTAAGTAATAATAGCTATAATAACTTTAAAAATCTTAATAATAAGAGTAATTACGTATATTTTTTAAATAAGTATTATTTTTAAAAATTATTCTTAACGTATATCCTTACTTTATAATAATCAAAATAATTATTTTTATTAAATTTATAATTAAATACTTATTTAAGTAAGATTAGTTTTTAAATTAACGCTTAGTTAATAACTTTCTAAGTATTTATCTTTTTAGCTTTTTAATTTCTATATAAATAGCTTTAATAAAATAAGTTTTAAAGGGCTTAAATATCTTAAAAATATCCTTTTATATTTTTAAAAAAATTTATTTATATATATCTTATTATTAAGAAATATAGTTAATAAAACGTATTTTATCTTATTAATTATAATATAAACGTAATAATAGAGCGTTCGATACCCTAGGTTACTTTATTAATCGCTTTTATTAATTAAGTATATATATATTAAAAAGTATCTTAGTTTCGCTTTATATAAAAAAGAGTAAATATTACTTAAATCGTTTTTATAATTTAGGTTTTAAATAACTATTTTTAGTAACTAATTTTTTAATTTCTAGTTTTATTTATATTTATTATCTATATAGTTATTAAAATTAATTATTTTAAAATCTTTATTTAAATCGTTTACTTTTATTTCTTAATATAAGCTTATTAACTAAATAAAATTATTAAAATTTAAATAAATAAAAACCTCTTTATAAAAATTTATAAAAATAATATTTTTATTTATATATATATTATATCTTTAATCTTTTAATAAAAAATTAGCTTTCTTTATAGCCTCGTTTATAACTTTAATTAGTTATATATTATACTTAGTTCTAAATTTTAAAAATCTAAAATAAGCTCAGTAAATAATTACCTACTTTATTTATTTAAAAATAAACTAAGTTTTTTATAACCTAGTTTTTTTATAAAACGGGTATAAGTAATAATAAATACTTAATTAATTATTAACGAGGCCTTTCCTTATTTATAACTCTAAATAATTATAATTTGGAATTAATAATTATAAATAATTATTAAATTTTATTTATTACGATCTTTAATTTAAATAATTAAATTATAATTTTTATGTCGTTTTTAAATAAAATATAATCTTATTAAACATTATATTTTATATAATAA